TCCTTTTTCTACAGGGGTACCGATGAGCTGCTGGGAGTGATGGACAAAGTCACCATCATCAACTCCACCCTGGGAAAAGCTCTTGGAGGAGCTGCAGGTGAAGGCATTTTCCTGTCCAATGCCCTCCATGCCCTAAAGAGCTCCACAGCATTGCTTTGGTGTTTCCTTCCTCTGCCTAATGATAGAGCAACAAATGCATGTTGTCCTCTTCTACTGGTGGCATGAGGCTCAGCTGGGGACCCTGCTGCAGGGTCAAGGGAGGTCCTGCCATGTGGTCCTTCCACTGTCATCTTCTCCATGCATTTGCCTTTAGGGTCAAGGTGGAAACTCTTGGTAAAAGGCATCAGCTGTGATTTTTTTAGGCCTGGTTTGTACTGAAATTCCTGCTGTAGGTGACAGGTTGGCTTTATAGAGGGGCCCCCCTCTGAACAGGTCACCCTGGGGTGCCTTCTCCATTTCTCTTTCCTCCATCTGCAGGTGGGTATACAACTGGCCCTAAACCCCTCATCGATTTGCTCCGCCAGCGTTCCCGCCCGTACCTCTTCTCCAACAGCCTGCCCCCCGCTGTGGTGGGCTGTGCATCCAAGGCCCTGGACCTCCTCCTGGAGAGCAATGCCATTGCACAGTCCATGGCTGCCAAGACCCAGCGGTGAGGGGGCCATATTGGGGTGGGAGCAGGGGGAGAGGTTCATTAGGAATGAGTTGTCCATGTGTGTTTATTCACCCTCTGGTGATAGCCGTGAAGGTAGTTTGGAAGTCGTGGCCGGGGGGTGCTCAGGGGAAACCGCAGGATGTGCCTGTGTGTGTCAGATAGATGTGCGGGCAGATGTGTCACATCTGGGTGCTCTGTGTGCTGGGACACATCTTCCCCTCAAGCAGCTGCAGTCCCATGGAGCTGAGCAGGAAATGGCAGGAGGTCACTCCAAAAAGAGACATCCCTTCCCTGGACAGGAGATGCATGGTGGAGCAGAACTACACCCAGCCCTCAGTGGCCAGGGCTCCCAGGGCAAAGCAAGGCATCGGTCCCCAAGGACAGGGGTGCTGAGGTTTTACTCATCCTCTTGTTCTCTTCACCAGGTTCAGAAGCAAGATGACGGCAGCTGGCTTCACCATCTCGGGGAAAGACCACCCCATCTGTCCTGTCATGCTCGGGGACGCTCGGCTGGCTGCAGTGATGGCTGAGGACATGCTGAACAGAGGTGAACTGGGGAGGGAGCTCTGGATGCAGACGCATGCCCTGAGGGAAGGGAGAGCTGATGGTGGTGCCACCACCATCCCTCCTCCAGAGGATGTTCCTGCATGAAATCTGTTTCTTCAGTATCCTCCAACTGCAAATGTCCTGGTCTCCCCCAGATGTTGCTGGCATCACCTCCTTTCTCTGTTGTGGGGGTTTACATTAGCCCTCTTGTCCTGCCGTGCTGGACTCCATCCCCATCACTGGCCCTAACCCTCACTTCCATGCTTGGCAGCAGATGCCACCTGAAAACCCTGAAGCCTGGAAATGGTTATTGAGAGGGGAGGGAGGATCCAAAAGCCTTTCTATCACCCAGTACCACCTCAGCCTCCCTCCCTCCCAGTCAGCTCCGACTCTCCCTGTGTTTCCTCCCCAGGCATTTATGTCATTGGCTTCAGCTACCCCGTGGTCCCCAAGGGAAAGGCCCGCATCCGGGTCCAGATCTCAGCCGTGCACAGCGACGAGGACATCGACCGCTGCGTGGAAGCCTTCACCGAGGTGGGACGAAAACACGGAGCACTGCCTTGAGGGGCCAGCAAACACCTCCTCTGGCACCCTCCCTGCCCACGACCAAGTGCCTGTGCTGGGGGAAAAGGCTTGAGCAGCACGCTGCCGAAAGCAGGACCGGCCCTCAAGGCATCACAGCCTGCAGGAGGCTGTGGCTGTTGCAGCGTGCTGGCAGTGGCACTGGCCAACCAGCTCTTGTGTCAACCAGCTCTGTGTCATTAAAGGTGTCCAGTGCAGCAGATATTTGTCCAGCTCTTGTTTTCTCATCCAGGAGCTGCAGCCCATCTCCATCTTCTCTCGCTGTGACCGGACACTCTGCTGTGTCTTCCCTGAAGCCTCAGTCTGGGCTTGCAGCGTGCTGGCAGTGGCACTGGCCAACCAGCTCTTGTGTCATTAAAGGTGTCCAGTGCAGCAGATATTTGTCCAGCTCTTGTTTTCTCATCCAGGAGCTGCAGCCCATCTCCATCTTCTCTCGCTGTGACCGGACACTCTGCTGTGTCTTCCCTGAAGCCTCAGTCTGGGCGCTGAAGCGCTGAAGCTCCTGCTCTTTCCTGCCGATGGAAATGTAGCGTTGCTGGTACGCCCGAGGTTGCCTGCTTCCTCCGCGCTCTCCTGCGGGTCTAGCAGCGTCACCGCGGCAGATCTGCCTACTGTAATTCCCCACCGAGGCAGGGGGGTTTCCCAAGCCCTTGGGAACCCGTGCCACAGGCAGCTGGTCTGGGAAAGAGGACATGGGCCAGCCGAAGCTCCGGTGCTCCTTTCTCCCCTTCTCACTCTCGGGTGTTGGGTGTGAGGCTTGCTTGGTCCCCAGGGCCAGCTCTAAGGCTTTGCCCATTGCTGTGGTGCTCTCAAACCTGCCCTGGGAGCTGCATCTCACCCCAGAGAGGCTGTCGGGCAAGTTGAGGTGGCAGAGGCCAGCAGCTTGGCAAGAGGGCCTGCGTCTGCCTGGGGCTGAGGCCGGGGGCAGAGCAGGTGACAGAAACCTGTAATTTTCCTCCATCAGCTGCAATTTTCGCACAGTAGAGAACACATAGCAGGCTGGAATCTCTGGATTTGTTCTTCCAAGCTGTGCTGGGGTAGCGATTTAGCACTCAAGCGGGAACAAGTGGGTCCTGGGCATCTCTCAGGATTGCTTTGTTTGCATCGTTTTTGCTCCAGATGAGAAATCACGTGTGTCCTGCTGTCTGCCCACGTGCTGAACTGAGTACCAGCTGCCTGCAGCCCAGAACAGACTCCAGGCGAAATGGGGCTGTGCTGTGCTTGGGTGCCAGAGCACTGGGTCATGTCAGCAAAGACCTCCAAAAATGCTACCTGCCGTTAGGCAGTCAGGGAGCGAACTATGGGGTGATAACGCATCTGACCTGAACCAGAGCAACTGCAGAAGAATATAGAAGTTAATCGAGGGTTGCAGCGCTTTACGGGATGCAAAAGGCAGGGGAAAAACATATTTGCTATGGGGCTGCCACCAGACCTTGTTAGAGCACCTGGTAGTGTAACTGTGTGCCGATTTTATTTAATTTTCCGTCTCTGCAGGGCCCTGAGCTCAGCCTGCTGATAAAGTATGATGTGGAGTTCCCTCTGTGTGGCGCCAGGCCCTCACGGTGCTGCAAACTCTTCCCCCTTATAAAAGGGCAATATTTTGGGAATGGGGAATGTAATGGGGAAATGGCAGGGGGTTGCGCTCAGGCCTCTCTTGCAACCTGGAAGAGATGAAGCTTCAGCCAGATGGGCTCTGGTACAGGGGGTTTGAGTCCCTAAACCGAATCACTGCTGTCTTGAGCCCGATGTGTGTGCACCCCCTTGCTCCCCCCTACTTGCACACCTGTACCATGCTCCCCCTGCACCTCCCTCCTGCTGGTCTCCAACCCAGCCTTCCCCCTCTCCCCTGGGCTTCTGCAGGCAGCCCTGCCGATGTCTCTGCTCTATTCAGGGCAACTAACCCAAGCAGTTTAACCCTGCTCCAGCTTTCAAGTCCTCCGTCAATGGGTGAGCAGTCATACAGACGCCTCGCTGCTCAGCTGCAAGCAAAAGCAGCAGCAGCCTCCCTCCCCTGCGACGCGCACACTTGTTCTTGCGTGCACACATGAGCTCCCCCCTTCTCCTCCTCTCCTCGCCAGGCGCTCTGACCTCCCTCTCCCCTCCGTCTCTCCCAGGCCCCTTGGCAGCTGACCCCCGTGCTCCTGCTGCTTCTCCGCCTGCTTCAAGGCTGAGCTCTGCAGCCGACTGCGGTTTGCATGGCGGCACGGGGAGTGCCAGAGCCCAGGGAAGGCAGGAGGGTCAGGCCATGGCACAGTGAAAATGAATAATGCAGTGCACATTGACTGCAGGCACCATGTTAATACTGCATTGCCAGGCGAAGCCTCCAGCTCTTTATTTCTTCAAGGCCTCCCGACCTAGGTCTGATCTGCAGCTATTTGCAGCTTTTAGCCCAGAAAGCAGAGGACTTTTTGCCGGGTGAGATGTAGAGGCAGACGCCACTTTTCGAGGATGAAGTTCCTACCACGGGCTCACTGACCCACCCCAGACCCATATGCTGCTCTGCCAGGCTTTCCCCCAGGTCTCAAGCCGTCACCCTCTATACCACGTGGGATCCCCGTATCTCACCCGTTGTACCTCAGGGTAGGGGACTGTCCTGTCCCATCCCGTTTCCATACACACCCACCCCTACAGATGCTTCCAGCCCTGAGTCCCTCCCCACCCCACACTTCTTCCACCCTCGCCAGGCTGCCTTGTTGCAGTCCCAAACCTGCCCCCCTTCCTGCTGACACCTTCCAGCCCCTCTCCACACCGCTGTTTCCATGCTGAGCGGCGACCCACCTCCCTCTACCCCTTCCCCACCAGCATCCCTCTGCCCTTTCTCCCTGCCCACAGCCCTGCCCAGGCAGGCAGGGATGCCCCAGCTTGGACTGAGCCTGCCAGGGCTGATGCAAACGGGGTCTGAACCTGCCATCAGGTGCCATGATTTTCCCATCCCGCATCCTTCACCAGAGATAAATGCCATGCAAGGGCCCCCAGTGGTGCAACCTCTCTGCGCTGGCAGGTGAGGGGCAAAGTAGCTGTGTCCCCCCTGGCTTGGGGGCTTCGGCGAGAAACAGCAATGCCCACAGCCGCTCCCCGCTTCATTTCTGGAGGTTTATTTCTCCATTTGGAGGATTATCCCCCCGGCTCCCTGGCCCCAGGGGTGAGCCCAGGTGGCCACTCACCTCTTCAGGCCATTTGGCTGCAAGAACAGGAGTCAGGGGGTCCCTCTGCAGCCCCCTCAGCGGCAGGAGCACTTGCAGGCGGCCACGACAGGGTAGGGGATCTGCCGCCAGGCACAGTGCGGGGGGCCGGGGGACCGGGGGGCCCAGCAGTGCCAGGCCAGCAGCTTGATGTGGGTGAGCTGCGCGGGGCGGCAGGTCATGCCGGGGGGCCAGGAGCAGCCGGGGGGGCCGGTCTCGCAGGCGGTGTGGCGCACCCAGCGGGGCCAGAAGACTGGTCCCAGGTCAACCCAGGTGGATGTGAGGCGGCAGGCGGCCCGCTCCACCAGCCACTGCCGCGGGTTGTGCGCCGGGGCCCCCGGGGCCTGAGGGGGCAGCCCGGGGCCGGGGGGCAGCGGGGGGGGCAGCCCCAGCCCCTCCGCCTCCCGCCACAGCTT